ACCACTAGCCTCTACATAAGGACATTCAAATGAGGGGACTAGCATACACATGTGTACACACCTATACACACTCATGCATATACGAGAGAGAGAGAGAGAGAGAGAGAGAGAGAGAGAGAGAGAGAGAGAGAGAGAGAGAACAAAGATGAAGGCAAAGAAAAACAGGAGATGGGGGGAGACATAATAATTCACAAAGATCAGGAAGAAGCTAAGAAGTATGTGGGGCAGCCCGATGGGAAGAGCAGAGATATTTTGAACCTAAAAGATGCTATGAAGACTTTATACACAGTCTAATGTCTCAGCTCTCTGGTTTCACTTAAAAGCCCAGGAACAACTCACAAACTATATCCTTTCATAAAATAATATAATTCACTATGATTTTTATAGCAATTAATGAGCCAAAAGTGAACATCAGACTTCTGGCATAACATTAACTATGAAGAATCAAATAAAATTCTGTTTAGTCATGGGAAATGGTTCTTTAAAGCCACAGAATTTATTTTTACCAACAAAGAACTGGCTTTTGAAACATCATTTAGTTAAATTATATATCTTTCTGTTGAATTTATTTTACTGTGAAACTCAAAATGAGAAAAACTAACTCTCTTCTATTGATCTTTGGTGATCAAATGCAGAACTCACAGGGTAAGAATAATTGCTGAAGTTAAAACTATTTTAATGCTTAAATATGATTGATAGTACTCAAATAAAAATATTCAAGACTGCTAATAACTATATATAAATATATAAATAAGCTAATTTACAATAAAAATAGAAGTATATATGATATACAATTTTAATGGAAATTTCTGAAAAAAGTATTGATTCTTTTACAAAGTGTAGCAGTGCAATATTATGAAGGCATCACTAATATTTTAAGAGACTGGAACTTTTTCTGGACCTCAGAGTCAGAGTCAATAATACACCTTAAAGTTACTTAAGGCTGCTAGCCTACAATGAACTCAAATTGTTTATTTAACTTGCTTTTAAGAGACTAGTGTAAGAACCTATCTTACTTGCTTTGGGGTTCCCATGTAAACAACTATTACAATCTAAAATTATGTATAGCTGTAATCTTAAATTATGTACTCTTTCACGCTCCCAACCCAGATAATGCATTTATGTGTATCATTTGCTGAAAGCAGCAGATACAGAAGCTGAAAACAACTCCCTAAAATCTATCATAAAGTCAGAAAGCAACCACTTATGGATATTGGTTGATAAACAAGGTTGCTTTTTATTAGGGTCACTTGAGATCAGTTGAAACCAGAGACTTAATCCCTTGTAAAAACTCTATTAAAGCTTTCTGCAAAGTAGCCCATCTCTTCCTCATGTGATGCTTTCTATGATGCTCAATAAAAACAGAGCAAAACCCTTTGTTAGGGACAGACACATACACCAAACAAACACAGATACAAACAGAGCACAGATTCAGACTCCTACAACAAACAAACACAAGGAGAATGAAGTGGACAATTCAGCTCTGGACTTGCTCTTGTTAAATCAACTCCAAGGGAAGTGCTTTTCTTTCCTTAATGTGACATCCATGCATTATTGGTGACTTGGGGTTAATAACTACTACGTATAATCCTCCAACAAAGTATTTAAAATATAAATTTTATTCTTACTGCCAAAAGCCATTCATTTTATGGAAAATAATCTCATAAAATTTGTAGCCTAAGGGTTGTCTGTCTTAAAAAAAAAACTAAAACAAAAACATGATATTATTTTGGTCAGCTTGGGTCAGACATAGAAAATAAAAATCCTAGTGTCCAATGAGACATGAAGGGAACTGAAAACTGCCTGCCTTTGCTGTAGGAATCACAAAACAGAACTGAAAACACAAAACTTGAAAACCTCCTTTGGCAAGGCAATGTTGAGAGCCATATGCAGCCTCCTAAAGCAACAGAGATCAACAACAGCCCAATCAAGGTTCCACCAGACAAGGGATCTTAGCCAGCAGCAGGAGGTGCCGATAGCACACAGTGAGTACAAGAGAATCACCTACTAATAGGCTTCAATCCATACACAGAACCAGAGGCGAGCGTGAGGACAACAGCCACCTGGAAGTCCTTGAAATATCAACAGCTTGAAAAATGGATGTCCCAGTCCCAAGCTCGAAAGTATCCATCTACACTTTCCAGTGGCATCCGGTGCTTTCCGTGCCATGAAAGACAAGGGGCTCGGAGAGTAGATATGGAGGAGAGAAGAAGGGGCCCACTGGCAAACATATGCCCCCAGACTACCAGAATCTGCTTACTAGGTACTGAAGTTACACATTAGTGTCTCAGAGTTCCAAGATACAGCAAGAAAAGTTTCCAGCTGCCTTAATAAATTCCTGAAAACTAAGTAGATTGACGGACTGAAGACCACTTGGGTTGTTTGCAGTTTGGGGCTATTACAAATAATTGCTATAACATTTACATAGAAGGTTTTATGTAAATGTAAGTTTTCATTTCCTGAGAGTAAAGTTGTTTTGTTGTTTTGGTTTGGTTTTCTGTAATAAAAGGGGAGAGAGAAAGAGAAGAGTCCCTAGGTGTTTGTGGGAGTGACAGCGAAATGGGACAGTGGTAACTTCCTTGCCTGTTGAGACTTTAAGAAAAACACAGAAAACGGAACAGAGATCTAGAAATGAACCTAGGAATTAGTTGAGTCATTTTTCTTTAAGTAGATAGAGTCTAACCTGTTTAGGACTCTTGAACAATGCATATTTAAATAATATGTTCCACACATTCTCCTTTAATTTGGTTACATTATAATGCAATTTAGAAGCATTCTGAGTTTCACGGTCAGTTGACTATCATTGGATTTTTTTATAATTTCTAAAATAAAACAGAATACAGTTTTCCAATGTTTTGTCAAAAAAAATCGTTAAAGCATGGACTCTGCAACTAAAACTTTTAATTTTTAGTTTGACTCTTTTGATACAGATGAATCAACATCACTAATGACTATCGCGTAAGGAAAGTTTATGAATCCATGTTACATTACACAGCTCCTGATTTGATCCCATTAGGTACAGTGTACCGCTCTGAGACAATGATAGGCAGTATGTGATAGTAACCTGCCACAGGCTAAACACTGTATGAAGGCCTTAGGGTGCCCAGTATTTCATCCAGGAAACTTTTTTTTTCCAGAGCTAGAACAAAATGGTGAAATGATCCATTAATACAGATTTTGAAGTCAGTGATGGACAAGTGTCATTCCAAATTAAAACACACTGCAAACGTTACTAGAATATCACCAATGTACAGCCTACGAGAGAACTTACACATCACTTAAGCACCTTTTCCTCTCATGGAACATGAACAGATAAAGCATTGAGTAGAGACTGGATGTTCATAGCATAATCAAGGAAAATGTGGAAAATAATAAAAGATAGTTTGTTAGAACTTTCTTTTTAACTTAAGTCAATAAGTTATTAAAAAATACATGTTTTCCCTTTTTGCTCTCACTCATTCATCCCAAATGGCTGTAGCATATCTTCCCATGAGATGAACTGAGTGTATTTTATACACCAAGCATCTGTTGCCTTTTCACAGATAATTTTACAGCAGAGAGGATTCTTTTTTATTGACTTCAGTGAAGTTACCTTTAGTGATAAAAGCTCTAACGCTTCCTCAATCTTCTTCCAAATACTGTCACTTGTTTTGTTTGTAAAACAGTCTGACAACAGATCTCAGGCTAACCTCAAGCTCACAGTCATCCCTCTTCAGGTCTGCAAGTGTCAGAACTACAGGAATGGTTTGCAAAGGCTAAAGGGACAGTTTCACATTTATAAAATAAAATGTGCTATTTCATCATTAGAAGGAACTACTTATATAATCATCTAAATTTGCCTAACACATATTCCAAATACATAATTATCAGGAAATTTCCTTGTGTGTAATAATTATTCAAAATACCTCCTTGAATTGTATCACAAAACATTTTGTTTAGAAATCTAAATAAACTAAAGCAATACTTACACTCCTGAAAGAAAAAATAATAATAAAAGGAACCATGGAACTTTGATGTACAATCATTTCACATGAAACATATTTTCATAAAATATGTCCTCCACACTAAATTTCTAAATGTTTTTAGGATAAACAAGGAAGTTAAAATGCAGTTTTAAAAAGTGTCCACTGGGTAAGTAAAATAAGATTAAACTCCAAATATCCAAAAACAAAACTGCATTAAAACTGCAATGTATTATTTAAACGTCAAATCAATTGTTACTAAGATTATCTTTCAGGAAATCTATTTTAAAGGACAATTCATTTGATTTCAAAGTCAAATTCTAAAGAGAAAAAGTTCACAAAGCTAATGGTCACGATGTCATAACAGTCTATCCCTCTGATTATTCAAATAATTCTGACTGTTGATAAATTGTCACCAAAAGAGACATAAATGAAGTCCAGAGAACAGTGAAAACACACTTATGTGACATCCTCAGCCATTTCCCCAGATTGCTCACACACTATCAAGTAGTGTTTAAAGTGTTGGAAATGAACCTGTCATGAATGACAGATCACTGACCTCCCACTAAGTGTTCAATTCCCACTTGAAGGTCCCCAAGGAAACCCAATTGTAGTCATGTGAAAGCAAAGGGCTGTGATCGTGTAAATAAAGAAGAAAAACAAGCGTTGAGACAGTACCAAACAATGAAAATTACAGGGGAAGGAACTAAAACCAGCCCTCTCACTAGAGACATCAAATGAACACACATGCATGCAAACACCAGAAAAAGCAAATACGGAGGGGTAGGAGGAATTTTATCCAGCAGCGATGTAACCAAAAGGCTGCCCAAAGTTAAGGCTCATGCTAACAACAAAACCTCAGAGAGGCTTTGGGTCTAATAAGAAGGATAAATCCCACAATCATTCCCAAATCCATAAAGATAGCTACTGTGATTTTTTTTTAAGTAAATGAAGTCAAGAAGAGATAGGACTCTGGTCCAGGACATGAAGTGGCATGCACCTGTAATACACACATATGGGCCACATCTCCAGGCTTACCTCATAAGACCAGACGCATTGAGTCCCACCAAAGCGGCGAACACAGCGCCCCACCTCCACATCCTCGTGAGTGGTGTACATTTCTCGGAGGCATTCGCCAATGTGAGGCACCATCCTCCTGAGAACTTCTCGGCTGAAGATCATGCCAGGTCCTCCCATGCAGAAGTTCTCCCCAGGCTCCAGCCCCAGCTTTCCAAGTTCTTCTGTATTCCCCAGGCCAGTCTGTCCCAGGTAGAGAGGCTTGCTGCTATTTAGAGACCTAAGGAATTCTTCTAATTTATCACCTACAAAGAGAAAACCAAGAGTCACCTCCTTTCCTCATTTCACAGGCAATTACCGTGTTCGATGGAGTGAAAGGACTTCCGCCATTGCTTTTAACCTCCTCGTACACCTTATACCGCTGGGAAGAAGAAACACTTTTCCCTCCCACATTTTTTTAAAATGCAAACTTACGATTATTTCTTAAATCTTAATACAATTTTAACAAATCTAACAATCATCAAATTTGCAGCAGAGGTGAGATAAAGATAAAGGGAATAAAGACGATTTGTTAGTCCATTTGAAGCGACGACAGTTCCCAGAAATAAAGCACAGTATCAAATGCTGGTGTTTTGTGTTGTTTGGGCAATCATTTCATAGCCAATAAATATTCTTCTTTGTGTGCATATCTGTGTCTATGTCCTTACAGGTAGGAAGTCAGAGTTCAGCCTTAGGTGTTCTTCTTCTGGTTCCAGGGACCTTGTTTTTGGAGACAATGTCATTTTAACTTGCCTGGAGCTCACCAAGTAGACTCTACTGGCAGAGTAGAGTAAAGCCCCAGAGAGTATTCTGCCACGTCTAACCTTTTCTTTTCACGTGGTTTTTGGGGATGCAACTCTGGTCGAATGCCTCCAAGGCAAGCACTCTGCCAACTTAGCTACTGCTATAGCTCCAATATTCAACTATATGTTTTTTTATAATAATTGACTTGGTTGGGTGATTCTCATTAGTTAAACTTCAGTCACATACAACCTACATTATTTAAGGGATAATTTAATTGAAATTTCATGTTGAAACTGAACTTGGGAAGGCATTACTTCAGAGGGAAAACGTTATAACCAATGCAGTAAAAATAACGCCATAAATTGACTTGTGGGTGGTAAGTTGATCAAAATAAAGGATTTAAAATAAAACTCTCAAAGCATTTGATATTCTATATAGCAATAAATCAGAATAAGTAGTCAACCTCCACATTCTTAATCAGCCTTGGTACTCTTGTTTTTGATTAACAGGACATGTGTGGCTCCTATCTCAATCCTATCTCGCACCCTCTAGCTCTCAAAACAGATTTTTTTTAAAGCTGTAACTGAGTTCTTTATTTAAAAAAAAAACACTTTTCATTTTAATAGAAACAGAATATGCCATTTCAAAGATTTGAGGCACAATGCTTCAAAGAATTAAAACAAATGGCCGAAGTAAGTACGATCAATGTACACTGTAAAGCATGACCCCCTTGCCAGGAAATCTTTTGTGATTTTTGATGGGAAATGGAAGATAATTATCCTAAAGTCCAAGGACCACAATGCAAGGAACAGAAAGCAAAATTAGCTTAAGTGTCAATACTTTTGAAAGTGGCATTTTTTTTTCCGAATCAACCATAAATACCGTATTTGAGGAATGCAGTCACAAAAGGCTTGCTTGCACTTAATATCAAAATCTCTCATTTCAAACGGCACCAGCACAGTGATTCTGCTCCTCTCAACTCAAAACTCAGAACATCAACTGCTAACGTCAACTCCTTGTCCCAAAGAAGACCTTTGGATTTGCTTGGCCGTACGTTACGCGAAGGATATTAACCTTGATCATGACGAAGCCATAGTTTTCCAAGTAGCCAGCACATACTGAGGAAGGGCTGCCCTCCACAGCACAAGTTAGAAAGCATGGGAAGCACAGATTGCTTCTTCAGGGTAAGCCTGTTCCTTTGTTGTCTTTTCCCACCTTTTCCACTCTCTGAACCAGAAAGATTTACTTCTGTACTCTAAGGAAGTTTGAGCCATTGAGCTTAGACATTCTCTGACCACAACCTCTGACAATCTATAAAAAAACAAAAGACAAACACACACACACACACACACACACACACACACACACACACACACACACACACACACACACACCTGCCCCTTCCCTGACAAAGTTTCCTCGTGCTGTGGCTGCATGATGTGGTTCTAGGTAGTTCTTTTAGACTCTGTCATGCACTGCAGCCACCAAGATGAACTGGAAAGGATCTACCGTTAGCGCGCATGATGTAGCTTGCAGCGATCAGGGTCTGTATAAATAAATCTAAAGCTCTTTCAACCTCTCTTCTCCACCTGACCTTTGGGGAGCCCCACTCATCGCCTCTGGGTTTTATTAAAGAGTGGCAGAGAATGGGGAACAGCTAGCACGCTGGGCTAGTGGGTGTATCCAAGGTTCTCAGTGTGGGGCAAGTTTCTAAAAGCAACAGAATGTTCAAACACGGGTCTGGGACAGTAAAAGATGGCTGTCCTCAACATCAGCGGTTCTAAAACCGCTCTAGACCAAGCTGAAACAAAGGAGAAATGGAGTAAAGCAACAACGTGAAATCTCCAGTCCTGCTCAAGCCAGCATCCTGCATCTCGCTTGCCTCTAGCCAGGACACGCCCCTCTGGACAGATTTGGGAAACTATCACCTACTTGGGGGAGGGGCGGGAATGGCTTTTGGGTTAGCACTAAGGTCCCTTTCTTCACCTTTCGAGCCAGACGGAAGGAACAACTGCAAGAGCGAGGAAAGTGAATAAAGCTGAGCAGGTATGAGGAGGGTCCACGCTGCAGAAGAGGAGGAGCAGGCTAAGAATGGTGGGAGGATGCTAAGGGTGGGGATAGCGAGTCGGGGGCTGCAGAAGCCCCGCAGGTGCTGGCAGAGAAGTAGTGGAGGGGCTGGGGTTGACAGAAGCGAAATGAATTAGGAGGTGGGCAGGGGGGACAGCTGACACTGAGAGGTCACCTTTGATGTAGACATCGTCGTCGGCGCGCATGAACCACTCATACTTGTCCAGGTAGTGGTCGTGCATGTACTTGATCATCATGAAGGACTTCTTCTGGGGAGGGTAGGAATCGTCGACCCCCGGCAGCTGGATGACAGGCAAAGGTGGAGGGGGCTGGCCGAGCGCGGCACTGGGAGGCTGCTGACTGGAAAAGAACTCCACGCGGCCGGGGATGAAGCGCGCCCAGGTCCTCTGCGCGGCCAGCGCGCGGCTGCCCAGGTACTTCTGCGCGGTCATCACACCCACGTACAGGAAGTCCCCAGGTCCTGGGCTCGGGGCAGCGGCGCCCCCGTCTCCGCTGCCGTTGTGGCTGCTCCCTGGCCGGCCACCCTTCCGAGGGCCAGCCGCGCCCCCATCCTCTTCCTCCGGTTCCCCTTTGGCTGCTGGAGCGACGGGAAGCGCCGTCGCACCTTCGGGCTTGTGTCCTCGCCTCCTCTGCGGCAGCGGAGCTGGCTGCTGCCAGGGGCTGCTCCGAAAACTGGGACCTCCGGGCGCCGCCTCCGGCCGCTGCGGCCCCAAGAGCTCCTGGCTGGCAGGGGGCGGCGACTGCTCTAGCCGCGGCCGGGACTGGGGCTGGGGGAGCGGCTGCTGCGCGCCCGCGCGGGGCCCGGTGGCCAAGCGGCCGTAGTAGGAGCAGAGGCTGGAGCCGTGTCGCCTCCTCTCGCTCAGCTCGGCCACCCGGGGGGCGATGAGCCAGGACGCGGCGGTGAAGCCCAGGACCAGCCCCAGCGCCACGCTCACCCACGGGCGGCGGGAGCGCACGGCCATCGCGGCAGCACCGGGCTCGGACGCAGATTGGGCGGTGTGGGCGATGCCACGGGTCCCCTAGGCTGGCTGCCGCCTCCGCTGGGTCTCCGCGACCCCAGCCGGGGCCGTGGAACGCCGCCTGGGCGCCAACGCGGGCTGGCGAGCCACACGCCGAGCTGCCAGCGGTGCGCTGCAGCTCCAGGCGAACCGGCCGCTCTGCGCCGCGCTGGGGCTCCCGCCGAGGGTCGGGAGTGAAACTTCGGCAGCGGCGGTGGTGGCCGCGGCGGCCGCGAGAGGAGCTGCAGGAGGAGGAGCGGCGGCGGCAACGCGTCCGCTTCTCGGCTGCCACCCTGTCACAGGCGCGCCTGGTCCCTCCTCCTCCCGGAGCCTCCGCCCTCGCTCCCCGCCTCCCTCCCACCCGCCGCCGGGCTCGGGACCGGCCCGAAGGAGGAGCCACCCGCGTCGCGGCTGCCAGGCGTGGAGAAGCGCGCGGGTCGTGGTATTTCCCCGTCCCCCGCCCTTGGACGCCCCCCAGCCAGCGCCTGGCTCGGCCAGCCTCCCCTCCGGAAAGAAACGCCGCCTGTGCGGCCACCTCCGGCTTCCAGCGCGGCGGTCCCCTGGTCTCCCCTCCTTTGGCTCCAGCTCCGGGTCCCGTCCCACCACCGCCCCGCCCTCCTGACCCAGCTTCCCCGGCCTCTGTCGCGCTCCTCCCGGTGCCTCTGCCCGGCTGGATTGATCCGCGGAGCTAGAATCCCCGAACCCCCAGCAAGAGCGAACTACGGTGGGTGGGCTCCCCTCTCCCACCGTGGCGTCCTGGCGTGACCCTCTCCCACTGCGCCCAGTTCAGGGTCGGAGGAGCCACTTTGGCGGTTTGGGTTCTGAGTGGCTACGCTTACTGTTTGCCACTGTGCCGCGCCCTCTCTCTCCACTCAACTGCCAGGAAACCAACGGTCAGTCCCAGCCTAGCTGCCCTACCTGCACCTTTCCCCCTCCCTCTCCGGGCCAGAGCATCAGCAGCACTTGGTGCCGCGTGAAAAAAAAAAAAAATCTGAGATTGTAAATACACGTTCCAAAGGCCTGGAGAGATGAAGGTGAATTGGGGGGGGGGGGGGGTGGTGGTGCGGGAGGGGGCTGTTCAATCCCCAAAGAACTTGTGAAGACTGTGCTCCACCTGTTGACTTGGGAAATGTGGGGCTGCCTGATTGTCCCCTCCTCCGCTCTTCTGGTAGTCTCTTGTGTGGAAATAAGAAGCATGAATCATTTTCTGTCTGGGAAGAAGACTAAGTAGGACCGGCAAATGATTACAAAATGCGAACAAATCAGAAAACCTCAAAGACGCAAACCAAGGAGATCATCCCAACGAACTTAGTCATAAAATAAAATAGAAGGTGTGATTTTTGTTCTTGCCTATTCCGAGACACTGACAGAAGACGGTTCATCTCTCCGGCGAGGGATCTCAAAATGGTTAAACTGTATTGGCCAAAATCACTTCAATATTGAGAAGAAAGTATCTGAAACTAAGTAATTTTTCGAAGGAGACATTTCAAAATTGTTCTCTGAACAGATTCGTGTGTCTAACCGTAGACGGTCTGGTGTGTCTGACATCCCAAACCTTTGACTTCTGTCCAGTTTCGGTGTTCTGCTTTATAGATCAGCCTCAACGGGGATGATATTGAATGGCATTAGGCGTAATGGCTCTGTGGAGCACCGTGCTGGCAGCATCCCTGGAACAGTGAGCCTGACTGGAGCCATTGCAGGAGGGTTCTTTCCACACCAGTCACTGACTGTACATGAGCCCGGATGACTAAAGGCTGCTTCTGTTTGACAATGAATCTCCTTTCCTTTCCACATCTGAGGCTTGCCCTGAGACTCATGGGATTGAAGACGATCAGATTCTTTCTCAATGTCGAATGTCAGCTAGGAAACAAACCTAGCCAAGCATATAGGACTATCCTGACTTAAAAATATATCTTCACCAAAAAAAAAATTTTTTTTTAATTTTCATGCAGTGTTATCTCGTGGAACTTTGGCCATAATGAATATTCTTTATCCCTCATGGTAGCCGCTGTCCACATAAGATTTTGTGGCACTTGAAATGTGGCTAGTATGACTGAGAAAATGTATTTTCAGTTTTATATAACTTGAATTAATTCTGATTTAAATGTCCCCATGTGGTCAGCTGCTGCCGTGATGGACAGCACATTTACAAAGAGTTTCCAGTTACGTATGGTCCATGGTTGAGGACCAAGTCTGCTTACACGTCAGCAAACACGCCCTTACAGCTCTCAGCTGCTCTTCATTCTAGTGGGTGCTGTTCATGGGTTGACCTACAAAGCCATTAATTCTCATTAGGCACAAATAACCTACTCAGGGCCTGTTTAGAATGATTGAGAAGAAAGTTAATTCCATTGATTAGTTTGTTTAGCAAGCATGTATAAGACACTACTACATACCAGTCAAAGTGGACAGCTTTGGACATGGAGACTCCAGCTAGATCATTGCTGCCTCCTGAGACGGAGTTTAGTGTGCTGACAGTGGACCCTAGGTTGAACATAATACCCCAGTGCAAAGTATCACAGTGCTGATAGGTAGGAGGATGGAGAAACACGGTCCCATAAGAGTATTCTGGTACTTTAGGACATCAGTTTGGGAATCAGGAAGACACAAGGAGCTTTTTGTAATAAAATGAAAGTATTATTGAAGCAGTATCCAGTGCTACCCGAGTGATTTAGGGAACCTGCTTCAAATCCTTTGCCCTTTAGATGTCTCACCTGAACATCACATTTCTGTGAGAATTTACCAGCACACTGAATGTGTTTAGTACAGCCTGTAGGTCACTGTAGACCCAGGAAATGTTAGTTCTTGCCCCTGTCTGATCTCTTCAAAGTTTTCCATATCACCTCCTATTTATATTTACTTTTGTGTGGTGTGTGTTTGTGTGTGTGTGTGTGTGTGTGTGTGTGTGTGTGTTTTCCTTCAACTATATGAGTCTCAGGAAATCAATCTCAGGTCATCAGGCCCGGCAGCCTTTACCACTGAAACACCTTATCAAATATTGTTTTCATGCTTCATTCTTTTATTAATTTTATTAGTATTTAACATCCCTTGCAAACCTGATGCTGTTATCAAGAAACAGAAATAAAGAGACAAGGTTCCTGCTTCATGGAGCTTTAGTCTACTAAGGAAGATCTACAGTGCTACATAAGAACATATGTAAATAAATAAACGTGCTGGCTCGTCTACCCATGTCTTCAAAATAGAGAACCATAGTGGTGATGTGCATGGGAATGTGACAATTTAAAAGTGGTATACCAGAGTTCTTTATGATAATTCTATCAAACATAGGCAAAAATAAAGGAACCAACCATAAGATTAGTTGCAGCCAAATGACTTGAATTCACTCCCCGGCACGAAATATGCCACCCCTGTGAATAAGTAAAACATAATTTCAATATTCAAAAAATTAAAAACCTCTTCTCACAGCTTCGGAAGAACTTTTGGGCAGAGAGAATTGGCTGGCACCAAGCCTCTGGGACAGGAACTGCCTACTGAAGATTACCAGAAGCTAGGGGAGGTTGGAAATGGGAGGGAGCTGTTGGCCTACTGAAAAAAAAAAATATCCAGAAATGTACAAAAGAACTAATATGAACTCCAAATGTAAGATATGTGATTAAAATGTTTAACAGCCACCTTTAAAAATAAATTAGTCTGATTATTTTTCTTGCTCTCAAATTAACATATCCAAAATGTCATTATAATATGGTATCAGTATAAAATTATTAGTGAGATGTTTTATATTCCTTTTAGTGACACTGTTTTTTTAAGGCCATTATAGCACATAACAATTCATATGAACCACAGTTTCAGTGTTTAATAGATACATGTAGCTAGTGGCTAACAGTGGATAGTGTATATTTAGTGTCTTATAACTATTTGCAAAATCTCTGGATTTCTTCTAAGTCACAATAAAGATGCTATGTAGAGCAATCTTATGGTTGTTATTTGTGTTTTACAAGAAGAAAAAAATTTTTTATGTAAGTTCACCCTAATGCCTATGGGGAGAAAAATCTAGAGAAGGGGAGATTTGTTGTAGAAGGCATTTAAAACTCCTAGCAGCTGGGGGTATATACCAGTGCAAGGGGCCACGGTTAGCACGTGTGAGGCCATGAGCTCAAATACAAGCTTGCCAAAGTTAAAAAAAAATACTTTTAGCAAATAAGAAAGGTAAAACACCTTTTCGCTCTTCACCCACAGCGTCTGCACTTCTCATTTTTAAGGAGAAGTTGTGAGACTTTTTTTTTAATGTTCTGAATATTTTAAATTACATTTTCTTTTTTCACGGGGGGTGGCGGATCTTGTGCCGTGTGCATATGAAGAAGTCGGAAGCAGTACAGTAGGTGTCGGGGTGTGAATCCGAGCTGTTTGGCTGCAGGCACCTTTACCCACTGAGCACTGTGATTTTATTAATTTTATTAATCTGGAGTAAGTATTATGTTTACTGAGATTCCTATAGTTACTTATTTGGTGTTTCCCAAAGCCAGTGAAACAATTTTTTTATACTTATTTTAACCTTGAAAATACGTGAATTTTAGAATAAATATTTTTCTGGGATTTTTTTTAATTAAAAACAAGCAATATATATTCTAGGAGGAATTTAAGGAAAAGAAAACTATCTGAACAAGAGGTAATAGCAGCATATTTACGTGGAAACTATCACCCAAGAGTAAGAGATTATGTGTCGGAAATGAAACATAATTGCAAAGAAGGTCCCCAGTACATTTGCTATTCTTATCTGAGAAGCATGTCTCAGAATGTGAACTAGCAAATCGCCAGGTAAAATCTCCCTGAAGCAGCATGATGGCCAGTTTTGAGAAAGGCAGTAAGAACAGAAATGTCCAAAAATCATAATTCCTTTACAAGGGAAATCACAAAATTGAATCCCTGGCCTCCCTTCATCTTTTAAGGATTTCAGAGGTGATCAGAGGTAACTGTTGTAACATATGGATTCATTCACAACTCCTCAGAGAAAAAAGTTATTGGGATATATTGTCATCTGGATTCAGGGTGCGGGTTTTCTTCATGATGGAAGGGTAGGATTGTATGAGTGTATCATCAACCACTGGAGACCA